GGAAAATTCAAAAATCAGCTGTTTCTGCAGCCGTGAAGGGTAACAAGTAAATTTATCTATAGTTTTTTTTTATAGTTCTTTTATGGTTCTTATTTTTAACCAGAAGGACAATCTGGCTACTCAAGCAGGTGTTTGGTCTATCTCAAGAACGACAAAATCATAAATCACAAAGAACGGAAAAAGAGAGAATTATTTGCGGAAATACGAGCAGATGGATCATTCCACACTTACCAAACGAGATAGGCGACCAAACACCTGCTTGAGTATGCCTAAAAAAAGGAAAGAAATATAAAGAAAACCTCTTTAGAAACTTACATAATATCCTCTGCGGCTGCAAAAACAGTTGATTTTCAACACGCGCTCAGAACTCAGACTCTGACGCCTCATTTTAATCTACGTAGCTGGCTGCCTTGGAGGTTCGCGTCGCGGTAAGACTTCCGCGCAGCCATGGCAGGGCATAGGTTAGATACATAAAGCCACGGTCTGGTCACCTTCACTAATGAGCGAAGAAAGAGTAGGACCCTCACCCAAGAAAGCTTGAGGAAGTCAAGGACCGGGACGGAGCCTCGGACATCGACTTTTCTACACATTAAAAGTTTGAAGATCGAGAGCTGTAAGACCAACTGAGAGAGGAAATTTTTACTTTACTGTTAACGAAATAAGATTAAGACAACGAAGACATAAGAACTGCGGACTTTAGGGAGAATGGTGAGGAGTTTTTTACCGTAAAAAATGAAAAGGCGTAGTTTTTAAGGTAAAATTGAAGTTGAAAAGGCCATAAATTGTGAGGAGTTAGAGCTGATTTCGCCCTACAACTATTTCTTTCAAAGCAGTTGATGTGTCTATAATCTTCGAAAGGCATGTATCGTTGGAAGTAATTATTATTGATTAAATTAAACTATAGAAGCATGTACGTCAAGTAGCCTTGAGTAGTGAAAATCAAAAGAATACAAAATAATTAAGATGGGATTTATAAAAGTTGCGCAGTTGTTAGCTGGATTCTCCATATAATTCTGAACGGAATGATATATGGACGTTGGGGGTCGAGTGAGATAAGCCACCAGAGCCAAATGCCCCGTCGGCTCTGGTCGTTCTCTCCCGCCTCTCCAAATTGCACACTCTCTACACAGCTAAGTGTCTTCCACGGGGCTTTTGTCTCTGGAGCCCTTTTCTCCGTTCTTTTCAAATTCATGTAAGCGAATCGTATATCATTATGAAGGTCTGAAAAAGTATGTTTGAATAGGCAACTGCGCAGCATTCAATTTTTTGGTTGCGTGAGAAATAAGAAAAAGGCGTTTATTGTTTTCTTGGATTTCTGAGTTAAATTGAAGTTTTTAAGTCTTTTTTTTTCACCCTTCGACGGGAAATCTTATCCACAATACAGCTGACAACTGCGCAACTTCAATTCTGAATATCTAGCGAATTGTTTTAAAGGACGCACCAAGAAACTCTTTTTTAAAATTTTTCTAAATTCTTATTTTATTTTTTAAAATGACTTAACTTCTCCATATCCGTTTCTTTAGAATTCTTCAACTTTCAGCTTCATATCTTTGAACGATTCTCTCTTGTTATGATTCTGGATCAAAGAGACACCTACGTTCGTTATTATGGAAATTAATACAAACGACCTGAAAACTCCGTATAATATAAAGCCCAGCAGGCCCTTAGTGACAATCCAAAATCGCGCCACTCGACATACATCCCAATTTGCAGGCTGCTCAGAGCGGTAGCAGCGGCTAATGGAAGCTATCGTCAGTCCAGATGTAGGTCCGAAGCATAGGTTAGATACATAGAGCCACGGCTCTGGTCACCTTCACTAATGAGCGAAGAAAGGGTAGGACCCTCACCAAAGGAAGTTTAAGTAAATCAAGTTCCCGGGCGAAGCCCCGGACCCTGACTTTTCTACACGGAAGTTTGAAGATCGAGAACTATAAGAACAATAGAGGGAGAAAATTTTCACTTTGTCAACGAATCAAGATTGAGATATCGTATTACATAAGAGCCGTGGATTTTAGGGATAATGATGAAAATGGGGAA